AAGCCTCCGGGCCCAGGACTCAAACCATGAAGTTGGCCATGTGGGTCCCAGCTGCCTTAACCACTATGCCATGGTCTGGTCATCATGTTTTTTAATAACTTTTCTTTTATGTTTTAAGTCTGTGATCTATTTTAGTTAATTTTTTTACAAGATGTGATGCCATGGTTCATTTTTTTGCTTATAAGTGTCCAGTTATTCCAGCACCAGCTGTTGAAAAGGCCAACCTTCTTCCATTGTTGCTTTGCCTTTATTGGAAGTCAATTGGACATGTTCTTGTGGATTTCTGGGTTTTCTGTTCTGCTCCATGGATCTCTATGTCTGTCCTTTCACCAATACTATAGTCTTCATTATTGTAATTTATAATAAAGCCTGAAATCAGGGAGACTGATTTGTCTCACCTTCTGCTTTTTCAAAAAAAAAACCCTTTGTTTCTTTTCTTCTTTTTTTTTTAAGGTATGTGCACTCACTGGAGAGTCAGAGAGGGAAAGGGAGAAGTCACCTGCCAGTGGGGATAATCACACCATAATCCTTTCTCTTCCATTCTCCTCTCAGGATTCTGGGCGCGCGCACACACACATACCACACACACACACACACACACACACACACACACACACAGTCAACCTTAGCCACTACACCACTTGTTGGCCCTCCAAAAATTTTTAAAGCTTATTTTTTACATGAGAGAGGGACAGGGGAAGTTTTCCCAAATAGTGTCTTCACTCCACAGTCCTACTCCCAGCCTCAGCCATCAACATGCATGCACACACACTGAGCCACCTCCATACGTAAACCTAGGACCTTCCCATATGACCTCAGCATGATGGGGTGTTTGTTACATTACCATTGCTTGCCTCGAACTTGTTGTTTTGTTTGTTTGCTTGTGCGCGCACAAGAGAGTTATAGTAGCCCCAACAGCTCTTCATGCTACGATCCATCTCCAGCCCAGCCAGCCCAGATCATGGGCAAGTGCATGCCTAGTGTATTCAGGGAGGTCTCTGGCTACAAACCTAGAACCCTCCTATGTGAGTCAGCCTCACAGAACATAACGTTGTATCATGTGCCACTGCTGATGGCCTCATGTCACCTGTCATTGTAACACCAGTTGTCATAGAGATCACATGCCTGAGGTCACTCCCATTTCCCACCAAGTTAGATGCAGGTGATCCTGGTCTGGGCCTGACTGGCATTCATGGTACACCTGGCTTCCCGGTAGTATTTTGTGGTCTTCCCACGATTACAGTTGTGTTTAGTTAGCCTTCCACAGTAGTAGTCGTATGAGTTAGTTTTTTTTTTTTTTTTTCTCTTCTTATCTCCAAAATAGTACTTTCTGTGATCCCTTATTCTGGGATTTCTTATGTGCTGTGGAAGCTGGAGACTGCACTTCCCCATTCTATATTTGAACCATAGCAGGATTTTTTCCCCAAGAAAGTGAAGGTTGTGAAGGTTGTTAAGATGCTCCATTACTTGAGATCTAACCTGCTGCCCAGGGTGGCTATGATCTCTGTTCCTAGGCTTAGAAGAACCGTTTTAGGTCACATTTCAAGGACCCGACATCACTGGTACAGAATGTTATGCCTGGGACTCAGGCATAAATAGAATAAGATGCAGTGCAGTACAAGGCTAAAACTTCAAGCCGTTCTTCTGCCCTCCCACATTTTCCTGGAGCCTCTGAAGCCTTGTAGGCTGGTTTCCTCTGCCAGCAGCTGGGGTTAAGGGCACTCAGAGAGGCAGGCAAACTGTGAGAGGCACAGGCCAGGGGCAGGCACTGCTTCTGGGAGAGACGGCCATGGCAGACCATGGTGGTTCAAGATTCCACTACAAACAAGTTCACGGCACATTCCCTGCATCCTCTCACTCCTATTCCAGGTTCTAGGGACTCAGTACTTTGCTATGAACTGACTGCAGTTGTGGGTTGCCTCTTTTTTGTTGTTGTTTTTTAAATTTTATCAGAGGGCACACATGTTCACCAGTGACAGAGACAGAGAGAAAGAGAGAGGGGGAGAAGGAGAACACCTTCCATAAAGAATGATCACACTGGGAACCAGCAGTTAGCGTAATGGCTATGTCGCTGGACTCCCACGTAGTCAACCGCGGTTTGTGTCCCTGGCCTGGTGACTTAAAATTCACGCCGGGCGCGTGTGCGTGCGTGCCCAAGATCCTGAGAGGAGAATGGAGGAGAAGGGATTGCGGGGTGACCATCCCCCCGGGGGGTGATTTCTCGCTTTCTGTCTCTATGTCTCTCTCTGTCTGTCTGGCAAGCGCACGCGCCCTATAGTGAAAAAACAAAAAACAAAAAAAAAAACCTCTCCAAAAGAATGATCACACTGCTGAAGTCCCTTCTTCTCCATGTCTCTATCCTCTTGGGATTTGGGCATGCATATGCCTGTGGCTGGTATGTTTTTCATGCCACCAGGGTCAAGATTTAAATCGTAGTCAGCCATGTGGGATCTGGTTCCCTCAATCACCAGGCCATAGGCCTGCCTTGAGCTGTCTTTGTTCCTTCGTGGACCCTCTTGCTCACAGGTGGAGCTAGCAGGAGGAGTTAGTTCCTGAATGGGTACACTGGTTCTCAGGCCCCAGAGGGTCCCCTCCCTTTCCCACTGTGCATTTCTTCTGCCTATCTATCCCTTTTACCTCCTGTCTAGCAACCAGTTGGTCCTCTGCCCCACATGGGGGACTTTCTGCCCACATCCACAGTACTTATCAGCAAGGAGCCTGAGGAAGCCAGGTGGGATGCTGGTGTGGGACTAAGGGAGACCTGCCTGGGTACGTGAGACGTCTTTCAATTTCAGTGGATGTTCCCAGGAAGAGAAAAGATTGCACTGTATTAGTGGGGGGAAGTACACCCTGGTTACTTATTTCTGGCATTTTAGGGGCAGATTGAAAACCTGTCTCCTTGGACCAGCAGGTGGTGTGGATGTTGAGGTGGCTGGATGCCACATGGCCAACTGCGTGGTTCAAGTACCGGACCCAGTAGCTTGGAAAATGAAAACATGCCAGGAGTGTGTGTGCACGCGCATGTGTGTGTGTGTGTGTGTATGCTCATAATCCTGAGAGGAGTATGAAGGGATTGGCAGCAAGGCCATCCCTCCTGGGGGATGATTTCTCACTTTTTGCCTTCTCTCTTTCTCCCTCCCTCCCTCTCTCTCACTGTCTCCAGTGAGCACACACTCCCATAGCAAATACTAAAAAAAAAAAAAAGAAAATCTGTCTCTTCTGCCTTGCTTCCTCATAGCAAATTTTTTCCCGTAGTTTCCAAGTCTCTGCTTGCAAAAGAAAGGGTTCAGAGAATACAGTTTACATTTGGACTTTGTATTATCTCCTTCTCATCCTTCAGGCTGCTGGGGGGCATGTGGGATTAGTATTCAAGAAGTGCCAGGGAGCATACTTCTCTAAAAAGATACCCAGAAGGGACATCAGATGGGCAGGGCAAGAAGAGAGATCAGAAAGGATGGGCCTAGGAGGATGATTACATCATAGCACATACTATGTGCATCAGACCTTAAGCTCCTCCCCAAACTGCATGTGGTGGGCGTTTTTATTTCCTTTTTTGTTTGGAGAGGTTTTAGCTATAAGGTGCGTGCGCTCGCCAGAAAGATAGAGACAGAAAGTGAGAAGTCACCCCCCAGGGGGGATGGCCATGCTGCAACCCCTTCTCCTTCATTCTCCTCTCGGGATCTTGGGCATGCATGCACACACACCCAGTGTGAGTTTAAGCCACTGGGTCTGGGACTCGAACCACGGTCGACTACATGGGAATTCAGAGACATAGCCATTACGCTAACTGCTGGTCCCTTTATTTCTATTTTACAGCTCAGGAATCTGAGACTCCAGAATGAACAATATTCACATCACCCCACCAATAATGTGTGATGGGGGATAGTTGGTCTGTGCTCAGGTGGCCACTATGCAGGTGGTTCTTGAGGTTACCATCAAAGAATGGAAAGAAAATAGAAGTGATGGGATCTGGCATGTGGGAGCAGGAGAATCCTCCCTGATGTCACACATTGCATTAGTCCCCAGAGAACTGTGTGTCTGGGGTGTCAAGCATTTGTTAAAAGCTGAAGAAAGATAGAAGTGCATTACATACTGCTGCCCTTGAGGGATTCATGGCCCAGAAAATAAAGAATAACAATGTGAAAATTGTCTTCTTTAAAATGGCGGTATGTTTACTTTACAAATGGAAACCGATGGCTGATGTGAAAAGATGAACATCTTGGGTCAGCAGGTAGCATGGTGCTTGAGGTGCGGGATCCCCCATGACCAACTCCATGTTTCCAGCCCAGGACCCAGTGGCTCAAAATAACATGCTAAGTGCATATGTGTGCATGCCCCAAATCCTGAGAAGATAATGAGGAGAAGGGATTGTGGCATGGCCATCCTCCCTGGGAGGTGATTTCTCACTTTTTTTCTTTCTCTCTCTCTGTCTCTTTGGTGAGTGCACATGTCCTATAGCAAAAATATTTTTAAAAGTCTGAGCTCATCATAAAGGCTTCCTAAACATAAGGCCATTCAAATCCATTACTTTTATTTAAAAACAGCATTATTTTAGGTGATATCATTTCCAATCCCCTTAGTCTACCCACAAGAAAAGGAGACCCTATTGCACATCTCTTTAAAGCACACTGTAATGTCCCTGCACAGCCCCTAGGAGGTTTTTACTAAGGAATTGTCTTTAAAACTTGCTTTAATCAGTTGACTCTGTGGTCTGGTGGTGAAGGCAGCCAGATCCCACGTGATTGACCAAGCAATTTGAGTCTCAGATCTGGTGGCTTAAGAAACACACCAAGAGTGTGTATGTGCATGCCCAAAATCCTGAAAGGAGAGAGAGATCGTGACATGATCATGCCCCATAGGGGTGCTTTTTCTTTGTCTTCTCTCTCTGTTTATTTCTGGAGAGCACATGTACCCTCTGGCACCAAAAAAATAAAAAGAAGAAAGAAAAAATTGGTTTGGTAAAGGCTTATCATTAATGAGGCTTTCTTGTGTCCTGACAGGTGTCAGAGATGGCTGAAGACGGGAGCGAAGAAATCATGTTCATCTGTAAGTGACCAGTGTGCCTGCTGGGGACCGGCTCTCGGGCCTGGAATGCATCCTGGCATGGCGCTTGCTGTCTGAGCAAAGCCAGGAGCACATTTTGTTTTTAGCCTACAGAAAAGTGGTTTGTTCTAAAATTAAAATGATTTTACTCACTTTAAGAAACACAGTTTATTGTATGAATAAGACACTGCAGGGACATGTTTATCATAGGATCACCTTTCTTAGAACTCCTGGCCTAGGTCATGTTGCAGGGAGTGATTCAGAAAAGTAATCCAAGGGTTTAGAAGAAGGGTGGTGTGTCAGATTTATGAATATAGGTTAACATGGTGAATTTCATTTATGCTCATGCTTTGGGGAGAATCTTGTTCTTGTCACACAGAGGGGACTGTGTGTGATTTGAAATACTTCGTAGAGCGGGATCTTTTCCTCAGGGAGCATGTCCTGTCTGCCTCTTCATGTTTGCGAGGGCCGTAGTGGGCAGCCTCGTGACGCAGGCCTCGCTCTAGTGAACGCCCTGGCCGCTTGTCTTCAAGGTACCCGTGTGGTCTCTCATGGCTGGGTCATGCCCATCAGGCCGGAGCCCTGGCTCCCTTGTTAGCATTTTGGGTCTCACCTTCCCTGGGTGGCACCCTCATAATCCTCTGATGATGTCCGTGTGCAGGGTGTGAGGACTGCAGCCAGTACCACGACTCCGAGTGTCCCGAGCTGGGCCCAATGGTCATG